ATATGTGTATATATATATATATATGTGTGTATATATTTACACCCCTCCCCCAAGCCCTCCCGAGTCGTGCCACTTCCTTCCACGTATTTCAAATTCTTCCCCATATATAGAGGCCCCCAAGATGCCCAACAATGGCCCTGAGCGCGCCCCAAGACGCCCCCAGGAGAGCCCAACAGGCCTCCGAGAGGCCCCCAAGAGGCCCACTGGAGGCCCTCAGAAGGTCGTCCCCATCATGTTCCCGGAAGGCGGCCCGGGAACATGATTCCGCGCCTTGGAGGAGTATTCTGCGCTTTCCGAGGCGCTTTCCGAGGCGCCTTGGACGACGTACCTATGTGTGTATATATATATATGTATGTATATAAATATATTGTCCTTCTCCTGTGTACACAGTCCTACATGTCTTACGTATGGGTCTATGTATATAGGCATATGTATGTATATTTGTGTTTGTACACATTTATACATTTATAATATATATATATATACATGTGTATATGTATATGTATATGTATTTGTATGTGTATGTGTATATATAACTATATACATACATACATATATATACACATATACCCCTCCCCCAAGCCCTACCGAGTCGTGCCACTTCCTTCCACGTATTTCAATTTCTTCCCCATATATAGAGGCCCCCAAGATGCCCAACAATGGCCCTGAGAGCGCCCCAAGACGCCTCCAGGAGAGCCCAACAGGCTTCCAAGAGGCCCCCAAGAGGCCCACTGGAGGCCCTCAGAAGGTCGTCCCCATCATGTTCCCGGAAGGCGGTCCGGGAACATGATTCCGCGCCTTGGAGGAGTATTTTGCGCTTTCCGAGGCGCCTTCCGAGGCGTCTTGGACGACGTACCTATGTTTATACAGATTGTCCTTCTCCTGTGTACACAATCCTACATGTCTTACGTATGGGTCTACGCACATATATATACGCACACATATATACATCCACATATATATATATACATATGTATATACATGTACATATGTATATATATATATATATATATGTGTGTGTATATGTGTATATGTATATACCCCTCCCCCAAGCCCTCCCGAGTCGTGCCATTGCCTTCCACATATTTCAATTTCTTCCGTATGTATATATATGTGTGTGTGTGTATGTGTGTATATATATATAGAGAGAGAGAGAGAGAGAGAGAGAGAGAGAGGCCGTCCAAGAGTCTCCCAAAACCGCTCCATGACGGCCGAAGAGGCCCCCAAGACCGCGCCGAAACGGCCCAAAAGACCCCCAAAATCGTTCCAAGACGGCCCAGGAGAGCCCCAAGATGGCCCAGGAGCCGCCCAAAACGGTTCCAGGAGAGCCCCGACAGGGCTTCAAGACTGCCTAAGCGAGCCCAGCGGGCCCCGAGAGGGCCCCGCGAGGCCCCAAGAGGCCCCAAAGAGGCCCCCAAGAGCCTCCCTGGAGGCCCCCGAGAGGCCCCCAAGATGCCCAAAAATTGCCCTGAGCGCGCCCAAAGACGTTTCCAGGAGAGCCCCACAGGCCTCCGAGAGGCCCCCAAGAGGCCCACTGGAGGCCCTCAGGAGGTCGTCCCCATCATGTTCCCGGAAGGCGGTCCGGGGACATGATTCCGCGCCTTAGAGGAGTATTCTGCGCTTTCCGAGGCGCCTTCCGAGGCGCCTTGGACGAAGTACGTGCGCTTCTATAGATTATCCTTCTCCTGTGTACACAATCCTATATGTCTTACGTATGTTTCTATGTGTATGTATGTATATACATATATATACATATACATACATACATACATACATACATACATATATATATATATATATATATATATATATATATATATGTTTGTGTGTATATATATATATGTATATATATATACACCCCTCCCCAAGCCCTCCCGAGTCGTGCCATTTCCTTCCACGTATGTTCATTTCTTCCGTGCGTGTGTATATATATATATGTATGTATGTCTACATATATATATATATGTATATATATACATATGTACATATATGTGTATATATGAAGACCGCCAGACCGTGACAAGGCTGGCGAAGGCAACGCGTCCTCTCTCCCTCAAGAACACGGATTGCAAGATCGTGGCGGCCATGGGCAACTTCCTGATCAAGTCCATAGTGACCAAGGACGCGCACCATGCACAGAAAGGCTTCCTCCCTCGTCGTCGCTTCATCGAGCACGTGGTCATGATGGATGCGCAGTCGAGAATAGTGGCTATGGCGCCGCAACTATCTGAACGAGACCCCCTGATGATGATGTTCGACTTCGGCGACGCGTTCCCCTCGATGTGCCGCCACTTCCTTCGCACCGTGCTGCTACTGGGGGGCTTCCCTCCGTCGATCCTCAACATGGTGGATGCTATCTACCTGTTCCCACTGGCCTGGACCAACCTCAGCGGTCACATGCGCATCTTCTGCTGGCTGGGCTCTGGCATCCTCCAGGGCTGCCCCTGGTCTGGGACGCTCTGGGCGGTCGGCATGGACCCGCTGATCAGGGACCTCTTCCACCGCACGCGCCACTTCAAGCAGGCTGTCATTGGCGTCTGTGCCGACGATGTGGGATCGGTTCTCCCGTCGATGCGGATGCTGAAGCCGCTGAGCCAGGTCTTCGCCGCAGCAGAGAAGCTCGCGAAGCTCACTCTCAAGACGATCAAGTGCAAGGTGGTGCCGCTGGCCGAGGAGTTCAGCTCGGCCTTGCATGATCGGGTCCTCGCGAAGTTGAAGGCCCTGGTTCCACGCTGGGAGCACATGCAAATCGTGCCGATGGCTGAATACCTGGGTGTTCTGCTGGGCCCCGCGGTAACCAACGAGATGAGATGGATGAAGGTGGTCGAGGGCTGGAAGGTCGTGGCTCACTCGATCGCGGACATGCACGCCCCCACCAGCACCAGCATCATGCTCTACAACCAGCGTGCGGCGTCGAAGGCCTCCTACATGGCCCAGCTGGCGCCTTGGCCCACGCGCCTCAGACGCCAGGAGGCTTGGCTGCTGCACCGCGTCTGGCACATTCCGCCACAGTCCTTGCGCCTGGCCGACATCCTCAGCATCGGCCTATGGTCTCGCCCGCTCAAGATCGTCTCAATGGAGTACTCCACGATTTCTGCTCTTGTCCGCAGCGCCAAGGAGACGATTATGAACTGGGACCTTTGGCTTCGCCGTCTTCGAACCGTGGTCCAGAATGAATTGGAGTTCCAGCACTTCGGTAACCTGCACAACTTCGCCCCGCGGCACTGGAAGGAGCCCCCTTTCGCGTGGCACCTCCGCGAGGCGGCGACGGGGTTCAAGGACCAGCTGCGCCCTGAGCCGCTGATGAAGGCATGCCGCTCTGCTTTAGCCGCTTGGCGCGTCGCCCAGCAGACGGCAGGTGCCCTCCCGCCTGGTGCCCGAGCCCACCTACAGCGCTTTGTCCACTCCCATCTCCTCTCCTCGCTCCTTGATGCCTCCTCCCTCGTCCACACCTTTCTTTCGCGGCTGAAGCTGTGGCAGTTGCCTGGGACGGAGTTGCCTGCGGAACCGATTGAGTGGGCGCCCGTCCTGGAACTGCTGAAACAGTTCCCGCCAGCAGGCCAGTCGGCCCTGATCAAAACTTGGTCAGGCGCCTGGACGACGTCGCGACGCTTGCACCGATCGTCAGGAGATCAGGCCTGCGTATTTGGTTGCTCGCGCGTGGAAGACCCTGATGCGTTTGATGCCATGCCACACTATATGTCGTGCGCGCACCTTTGGCACGCAGTCTGCATGGCATGGCATGTGCGTATACCTGCCCCTGCGTGCCTGCCCACCCGTCTCGGATTGAAGGTCGGAGAGTCGGGGGCAGCGCACCGCATGGCTTTCGAGCGAGTGATCATTGCTTTCCATACTTACAATATCCAGGCCAGGCTCTGCCAGGACGCTTGGTCCTCCCCTGGTGCTGCAGTCGCCAGTGCGAAGGCGGGGCGGGCCCTGCTTCTTCATACATACACGGTGCCCGTCTAGGCCTCTCGCCTTCTCGGACCTCTCGGAATTACGAGTGACATATATGTGTATATATATATAGATAAAGATGTATGTATATAGGCCGCCCAAGAGCCTCCCAAAACCGCTCCATGACGGCCGAAGAGGCCCCCAAGACCGCCCCAAGACGGCCCAAAAGACCCCCAAAATCGTCCCAAGACGGCCCAGGAGAGCCCCAAGATGGCCCAGGAGCCGCCCAAAACGGTTCCAGGAGAGCCCCGACAGGGCTTCAAGACTGCCCAAAAATTGCCCTGAGCGCGCCCAAAGACGTTTCCAGGAGAGCCCCACAGGCCTCCGAGAGGCCCCCAAGAGGCCCACTGGAGGCCCTCAGGAGGTCGTCCCCATCATGTTCCCGGAAGGCGGTCCGGGAACATGATGAGGGTGGCGCTTCAGGGCCATCCATGACGTGACGCCTTTTCCAGTCACGAGCAGGAGGAGAAGGCGCAAGTAGTATAGCTCTCCAGCATTCGGCTTCACGTCCGCTGGCCCCACGCGAGTGGTTGGGGTTGAGGGGCGCACAGCGTAACGGCGTGCTTGTGTACATCGACGGCGCGCGGAGGAGGAATCACTGAGAGCCACTACAAGCCACTAGGTGCCACAAAGCAGGACCTGGATAGGAGAATATCTGATCACCGCAGAGTACACACAACATCCGACGAGCGGGCCTGCGCCACATAGCACACAAGCGTCATGGAGTCCGCCAATTGCCCGCCGACGGTGCCTCAAACGTGAACTAGAACCTAAGCGCGCGCGTAGCGCGTGCGTGGTTCTAGTATATATATATATGTGTATATATATATACATATATTTATATACACATATATACACGATCACGCCGCGTATTTGTTAGTAGACTCCAGAAGAGGATCAAGCTTCGGGTAAACCAATTATGTAGCCGATCTCCTACTCGAAGAGCCTCTACCAAGCGGGCGGGGCCCCTCTCAGAAGCCCCGCATGCCTGAGGCCCGCCCCCCCTCGCCCGGACCCCCCCCGTCTTGCGCGCCGCCGGTGAGCGGTGCAGTGCCTCCCCCCCTATCCTCGGCGATCGGCTTCCGATGCATACCCCTGCGGTTGCCCCCCACCCTGGCAGGGCTCGCTTCGATTCCTCCGATCCGGTTCGACTCGATCCCGATGGATTCTGATTCCGATTCGATGTGAGTTCAGATTCCCATTTGGGCTCCGATTCTTTCAATGGAGGCCTACCAGCCTGCCGAGTTCCGCCGATTCCTATTTTCCCGACTCGGCTGCCGATCTCTTCCGATCCGATTTGTGCCGATTGCCGAGCCGACTTCTCGATTCGAGGCTGGGCCCTCCTGCCCCGGGCGCCGGGGGCAGCCGGGCGTGGCTGAAACGACGTGGCCCCCGAGGCCAGACGCGTTTCTCCAAGCCGCCGCTCTGGCCCCTCGCGGGGTCGGGGCGTGTGAGCCGGGGCCTCTGGTCAGAGGCCGATCGCCCCCGCTCCCGCTCGAGCGGGCCCGCGCCATGGCTCTCTGGCGCACCGCGGCCGGCGTCGCCCTGGGCCTCCTCGGCCTCCCCGGCGCGGCCGGCCTGAAGTCCAGCCCGGCGGGCGAGGACGGCTGGCCCTGGAGCCGCCGGGCGCAGGCCGAGACGGTGACGCACCGCACCAGCGCGGCAGGGCTCGGGGGAGCGCGCGGGGGCAGCCCCTGCCTCTGAGGGGGTCCAGGCCGGCCTCGACGCCGCCCTTCCCCGGGGCCGCCAGCTCCAGCAGCGACGATTCGTCTCGGTCTGCCTGTAGGGTCACCCCGGGAGAGGCCTGAGAGGTGCACGCGGTCGGTGTAACATGTTGTTCGAGCTTTCAAGGCAGAGGCCGCCTCTGTAGAATTCAGACGTGGGGCTGGTGGTATGAATCTCATGTTCTATCATGCGGGCCATCATGTAACATGGTGTATGAAAACGACGTGGTAGGCCTACGGATTTTCGGGACGGTCGGTTCCTTTTGAACAGAGACTCGATCTGGGCTTCCGCAGGCCCGTTTCGGCCCCGGGGCCGTCAGAAAGCAATTCAGGAGGAAAAGTTGGCTTTGGGGAAGAGGTCGGCTTTTTGGGACCCCGTGCTGGAACATCTCATGACACCTGAGATATGGGCCCAGGGTAGGCCAGGGCGGTTTCAAACTGGCGGCGCCGCCAGAGGTGGCACCAGGGTGCCGGTGACGAGAGACGACGACGACGACGACGACGACGACGACGACGACGACGACGACGACGAATGACGACGAATGACGACGAATGACGACGACGACGACGACGACGACGACGACACCGGAGGTGGCGTAATCCCGGCTGGCTTGGTCAGGCAGGCGTGCGAGGGGAGGCAATTCTTCCAGGGCGCTTTGAGCGCGTTGCGGAACGCTCTGGGACGGCAGCGGCGCCCGAGATACATCCTTCAGACCCGCCAGGTCTCAGAGATTCCCGAGTCATCTCAACCTGGGTTTCTCTTCACCCTCCGTCTCAATTCCAGGCCTCCCAGATGGGGTCCGAGTATATTGGGTCGGAGGACCACGCCGCTTCGCTGATGCATCGCCGATGCGGCGCGATGCGGGACCCGACCTGCTCCACGCCGACGTCGCCGATGCAGCGCCGACGTCGCCGATGCACCGCCGATGCATCGTCGATGCATCGTTGATGCATCGGCGATGCGGCGCGATCCGCCGACCCCATCTACTCGGGCCCCATCCAGGAGGCCTCTATCAATTGCATTGTGGCCTGTTGACGCCAGCCTACTTGGGGGGCTGTCTGTGCGAAAGCCCAAGCCTCGCCGCACCAGCGAGCTGAGGGTGCACGTCACCTCCATCGGCGGCGTGGGCACCACAGGAATCATGGAGGAGATGAAGCAGATGAGCCCCCGGATCGTTACCAACGACCCCATCGACAACGATCAGATCAAGCATGTGCCGTACAGCAAGCTCATCGGAATGGCCGGCTTCAAGCGCGAGAGGCCCCAGAAGGTTTTGTATTTGTACGGCGACCCCACCCGCGCGATCATGTCTTTGGACAGGAGAGGCTGGTTCATGATCCAGGCCAGGAAGACTCGCAGCGACCCGTTCCCTCACCCATTCCCGAAGAACCTGAAGCAGTACGTCGACGACGTGCAGGAGGACTTCTTCCAGTTCGAGAAGCACTTCGACTCGTACTACCAGCAGTGCGATATGCCTGTAGCCTTCCTGCGCGCCACCGAGAAGACGGACCACATCAGCGAGCTGGCCGAATTCCTGGAGGTAAACTCCACCGAGGCTCGCCGTGTGCTGCAGCCGTGGAAGCCTGCCGCGAGCGCCTTGCAGTTGGAGGAAGAGGTGGTGCCCCTCGAGTTCAACCCGGACGCCAGGAGAAAGAAGCAGAGTACTGATGCCACCACCCTTTCACCGGTCGCTCCTTTCTGGGCCTCCCTGGCAGGGCTGGATACGCTTCGGAATCCAGGAATCCTGGTCAAAACGCACCCCGACATGGGTCCATAAAGTGGCGGTCTCGGGATCGAAGACGCCTACGGCGAATCACAGCCGGCCCCTGCTTTGTTAGGATACGCCTGTGCGGGCAAACGTTTGGGCAAAGTTTGGGCACGCTATTGGACCATGCGTTCCCCCAGCCGTTGAGGAAACCCTTCGGGGAACACGGGAGGGAAGGAAGAGGAGGATGAGGAGAGGGAGGAAAACGGAGGAGGAGATGGAGGAGGAGGCCATTTGGGAGCCACTTGGGGGACTAGGAGCCTCCTGGGAGCTTTTGGGGGGCCTCTTGGAGGCCTCGTGAGTCCCTTGAGTGCTTCTTTGGGCCTCTTGGGGACCTTTGGGGCCTTCTTGGGAGCCTCTTTGGCCGTCTGCAGGCGTTCCTGGCCCCCAAGACGCCATCGGAAGGCGCCTTGGGGGCCACTTTGAACTGACTTGGGGGCCTCTTGGGGTGTTTCAGGGCCGTCTCGGAGGCCATCTTGGGCGTCTTGGAGGTTTTTGGGGCCGTCCTGGGGCCTTCTTGGGGCCGTCTTGGAGGTCTTTGGGGCCGTTATGGGGCCATCTTGGGGGCCTCTTGGGCGACCTTAAGGCGATCTTGGGGGCCGCCTTGGGCCGTCGGAAAGCCGAAAAGACGCAAATATCAAAATCCTTCAAACACCCAAGCAACATCAATCATTTGTGCCTCCTCGGGCTTTCCTGGAGGCCCTTGTGGAGGCCTCTTCGGGCCGTCTTGGAGGCCTCTTGAGAGCCTCTTGGGCCGTCTTGGGCCATCTTGAGGCCATCTTTGGCCGTCTTGGGTGCATCTTGGACCGTCTTGAATTAACTTTGGGGCCATCTTGGGCTCTCTTGGGGCCATCTTGGCTTGGCCGTCTTGGAGGCATTCTTGGGGTCCATCGTAGGCCACGTCGCAGCGAGGAAGGCAACCATCCGGGCAAATTGGGGGTGGTTCCGGGTGGCCGGCGGGCTGGGCCGAAGCCCCAGGAGAAGTTTTCAAAAAACCACAGACCATCAGAAGGTTAGTACACCGGGAACCCCTGTGGCAAGACCATACGGGGCGGCGGATCGAAAACGACTGCGGCGAATCACCGCCACCCCCTGCCTTTTTGAGTCGCCCATGTGGCCGAACATTGTAGCCAGAGCTCTGCCAGGCTAGCGAACAATGTGTTTCCCCAGCTGTTGTGGAGACTCTTCGAAGAACACGCGGGGGAGAAAGAAGGAGCTGAGGAAAGGGAGGAAACATACAGGAGGAGGAGGAGGAGGACCAGTGTAAACCCAAGAGTCATCAACGATGTTGGGATACACCCTCCCTCCAAGCTTCCTCTTCATATGCCCCTACAAAGGTTCATCTCCACAGAAGGAACTGCCTCGTTGGAAGACGCCGTTTGAAGACCCTGATGAAGCATGCCAAACCATTATTCTCGGGACTCCAACGCCACGGATCAAGCTGACTGTTGCGTCTTGACGCTCCTGAATCGTACCATAACGCCATTCTTCGGATTTCAACACCGCGAATCAGTGAAACTGCGACGCCCTCATAATCCTCAATCTCTCCAACACGCAACTTCTGGTACGCTGAACATGGGAATCCGTGAACCCCTTTGCAAAGGTTTAAAACAAGTGTGCGCGGCGCTAAAGCGAGAGCCACATTTTGAAAACGACCCACCCTAAATCCGTGAAACTGTCGCAAAGTTATACAACAAACAAGTGCGCGCGGCGCTACGGTCAGAGCCACAGTTTGAAAACCACCCGCCCTCAATCAGTGAAATTGTGAAGCCTCAGGCGAAACGCCCAGCCCGCCCTAAAAACAGGCCCCAGGGTGCGACAGGGAGAAGTTAGTTATAAGGTAAAGGAATGGAGGGGGAGTGGGAGGAGAAGGAGAGGGAGGAGGCGGAGGAGGAGGAAGAGGGAGGAGGAGGAGGAGGAGGAGGAGGAGGAGGAGGAGGAGGGGGGGGGAGGGAGGAGGAGGAAGAGGAGGAGGAGGAGGTGGAGGCGACGGCGGCGGCTGCGGCGGCGGCGGAACGAGAATCATCTGGACGAATGTCTCAACGACTACACAGCACACTGCGCTGGGAAGGTCATGCTATGTGCGACCACTCCTGCGCTGTATGTAAGCGTCTGGCAGATGGCCCGCCCGAGGGCGGGAGCCCCGAGGCGTCCTCGCGCAACCGAGTGATTACACAGCGAAGCGAGCAGGACGCTTAACAACTTATGTCGGGCGTGTCCCCCTGCAGGGGGTTTTCGCCGAAAACTAAAAAATACCCAAAACAGACCCCAAAAAGGTCAAACAATACTCAAAGTATAGTCCCCAGACTATGTTTGGATTATTTGTTGATCATTGTTGTGGTATGTTTTATTTTTCGTCGAAAATCCCCCTGAAGGGGAACAGGCCCGACTTAACCCTTAACACGAAAAGGCCTGGAGGCCCAGGGGCAGGACCAGGACCGGGCCCAGGAGCAACAGACAAGAACGGTTGGTGATCGCCACACATGGTTTGACACTCGTTTTAGGAGGACGGGGCCCAGGAAGGAGGCTGGCGGCGCGGGTGCGAGGAGGAGGAAGAGGAGGTGAGGAGGAGGAGGAAGAGGAGGCGGGGGAGGCTGAGGAGGAGGAGGAGGATGAGGAGGAGGAGGAGGAGAAGGATATGGAGGACTCTTGGGGCCTTCTGGGAGCTTCTTGTGGGCCTCTCGGAGGGCTCTTGGAAGCCGTCTTGGGCCTCTCGGGGGCCTTTTGGGGCTTCTCGGGGGCCTCTTTGGCCGTCTTAGGGTGTTCCTTACCCGTCTGACGCCGTCGGAAACCGTCTTAGGAGCCTCTTTGGGCCGTGTCTTGGAACCCTCTTGGAGCGTTTCGGGTTCGTCTTGAAGGCCATCCATCGCGTCTCGGAGGCCTCTTGGGCCGTCTTTGGGCCCTTGGGTGGCCGTCTTGGAAGCCTCTAGGGCAGTCATGGGGCCATCTCGGAGGCCTCTTGGGCGATCTTGGGCAATCTTGGGGGACTCTTTGGTAGTCTTGGACCATCGGAAGGCCGAAAAGAAGCAAATGCCACATTCATCCAAAAACCGAAGGACAATTAATAATTTTGGCCTCTTCAGGCCCTCCTGGAGGACCTCTTGGAGGCTTCTTGGGCCAGCTTGAAGGCCTCTCCGGGGCCTCCAGAGCCGTCTTGGGCCTTGTGCCGTCTTGGAAGCTTCTTGGGCGGACTTGGAGGCATCTTGGACCCTCTTGGGCCGTCTGGGAGGTCATTTTGGACCATCTTGGTGGACTTGGAAGCCATCTTGGCCGTCTTTGACCTCATCGTGTGGCATCTTGGAGCCACCCGGAGCGGAGAAACCCTTGCCAATCAGGCCGCACGTAGCTTTTCCGGGTGGCCTGCGCGATGAGCTGAAACCCCAGTGGGGGAGTTTCGAAAAGAACCAACCACCACTAAGAAACCTGGCACGCCAGGCACCCTTCTGATAAATCAACAGGGGGTGGCGGATCGAAGACGCCTACGGCGAATCACCGCTGCCCCCTGCCTTCTAGAATCGCGCATGTGGCCGAGCGTTGTGGCAAGAGCTCCGCCAAGCTATCGGACCATGTGTTCCCCAAACCGTTGTGGAAAGCCTTCGGGGAACACTTGGGGGAGGATGGCGGGGAAGATCAGGAGGTGGAGGAGGAGGAGGTGGAGGAGGAGGAGGAGGGGGGTGCATCCTGGGAGCCTATGGGGACACTCTTGGGGCCTCCTGGGAGCATCCTGGGAGCCTCTTGGAGGCATCTTGGGGGCCTCCTTGCGCCTCTTGTGGGCTCTAGGGGGCTTCTTAGGGGCCTCCTGGCGGTCTCGGAGGCCATCTTGGGGTGAATGGCTCGAAATGTAAGTTTCTGGTTCCCACTCTTGGGTCCCTCTTAAAACTATCTTGGCGGCCTCTTGAGTCCCTCTTGGGGTCGTTGAGGCCTTCCTGGGGCGATCTTGGAGGCTTGTTGAGCCGTCTTGGCCGCTTTGAAGACCAAAGAGACGAGAAAGCTAAGATCATGCATCAACGAAAAAACCTTGGCCTCTTGGGGCAGCTCCCAGAGCCTCTAATGGGGCTCCAAGACGGGCCTTGGGACCACCTTCGGCCATGCTGGTAGCATGGACGCCTCAAGAGCCTGCTGATCCATCCTCTCGCAATCGCGGCCGTTACGTGGGGGTAGGTCGGTGGGGAGGGGTTCCGTAATTTCACGATTCGCGCCAGCGCCGGCGCGACTCTTCACATTATGGGGGGAGGGGCGTCCATTGTAATGGACGTCATCGCGAATTGAACAAAAGCGCGCCCTAAGTCGTTCCCAATATTTTTGAAGATCTTTCGGGGACGCCATGAGAGCGCCTGAAAATTTCCAGCCTTGGCCGTTCAAAGAGTGTTTACAAAATTCAGTTCCATTGCAGAGAACTCTAGGGGACCTGGCGATATTCCACTCAGTGCCTACGGCACGGAGGCGGAACGTTTCGTTTGCCCAGGACGTCCTCCCAAGCAACAACACGTACTCCGACGTGTCGCCAGAGACTAAGGCAAAGCTCAAGGCCAAGTTGTCGAGCTTGATGAAGAAGTACGACTCGCTCCCCGGCTTCAAGGCGATCGTACCAGGCAAGGATTGCAAGAAGACGGAGTAG